TAGTGCTTCACTTTCTACCATAAGGGTGGTGTCATCTGCATATCTGAGGTTATTGATATTTCTCCCAGAAATCTTGATTCCAGCTTGTGCTTCCTCCAGCCCTGCATTTCCCATGACATACTCTGCATAAGTTAAGTAAGCAGGGTGACAGTATACAGCCTTGATGTACTCCTTTTCCTATTTGGAACCAGTCTGTTGTTCCATGTCCAGTTCTAACTGTTGCTTCCTGACCTGCATACTGGTTTCCCAAGAGGCAGGTCAGGTGGTCTGGTATTCCCATCTCTTTTAGAATTTTCCACAGTTTATTGTGATCCACACAGTCAAAGGTGCTGGCATAATCAATAAAGCAGTGGATGTTAACTAGACTTACTCTCATGATCATTTTGCAATGTATACAAATATTGAATCATATTGTATACCTGAAACTAAATGCTATAAGTCAATTATACCCCAATTTTAAAAAAGAGGAAACAAACAGAACATCTGATGCAGAAGCACTCATTATGGTCTAGTACAGGCAACCCAATAGACATTAATACACTGCAAAGTACACCAAATAATGTCATACAAAACAAAAATATTTCCATCCTGTAGTGAAATAAAGATCCCAGGTGATAAGCATAGGTGACTCTTGGTCACCTTATATCATTGTACCTAGCATCTTTTCCTTCATAAAACTTATCACTACTTTGAAATCCATTTGTCTAACCCCTCTAAGAAAATGAAGACTGAGAGCTGAGGTTGTGCCTGCTCTGTTCTCCAATACTGACTCTTGCACTATACTACCCAGTACTTCAAGAATGTCCAGCAACACTGAACATAAATATATCAAAAAATGAGACTGCATGAAACAATCATCAAAATACCAACTACAATTAAGTCTATCCACTTAAGCACATAAAAACACATCAAATCTCAAATCATTATTAAAACAATTTTTATAAGAGGCAGGGGTATAGAGCAGATCAGAATGAATATTTGAAGGTAAATGTAAGCACATAGCAGCAGGCTAAGCAACAGTTATGAATAACCCTGAGAAATTTTAAAGTGTCACAGTATTTTGAATCATAAGAAGAGTAAGTTTCATTTCCCTCCCCAAACCTATACACACCAATATTAATATTGTTAACATTTAGGTATATATATTTGCTGACTCTTTAGTATGTTCTTAGAGACAGAGCTACATAAAAAATTATATTTTATCACCACATCATCATTCTTAACATTTATTAAGCATCAGTGTTAATGCTGTAAAAACTTTACAAGTCCTTAAGTCAATCCCAAATATCTCCTTAAAACAGCTATTATCCTCATTCTCAAAAGAATAGGTGACATAGTGTTTCCTTGCGGACAATTTGCTTTGTGACTTGACATTGTAATTTTGGGACCTCTTTTCATGTTGTATATCATTTTCAAACTGAATAAACTTTTAGATATTTCCAAACTGTATGTCACTAAATAATACTGGGATCATTTAGGCTTCTGTATCATTTATTTCTGCAGAATGGACTCTTAGAAATGGGGTTATGGCTCAAAGGGTACTCGCATTTAACAGATACCATCAAATTATTCTCCAAAAAAGTATTTAAATTTATAGACCCATCACACAATTATGAGTATTTTTGTATACATTCACTGACATTAGATACTACCAATAGCTGTAATTTTCAATAATCTGAAACAAGATAATCTATTGCATTTTTCATTTCCTTATAAATTTAGAACATTAGTAGTCTTATTATCTGGCTTTTCATTCTAATTTTCACAGTCTGTATTTCTATTAGATGCTTTTTATTAAGAATTCCATATTTTAGTTTATTAACACCATGCTTATTACTTGTGCTGGAAATATTTTCTTTGACTTGTTAATGAGTTTAAACATACTGTTTTGAATGAAATATTAGGAAAAGCAATTTTGATTCCCTTTTCTTCTATAGGTTCTAGGTTCCTGGTTTGCCTCACACAGGTTTCTCCTACCCTAAGCAACATACTTTGATATTTTCTTCCAATATCCTATAAGTGTATAAAAGATATTATTATATTAACATTATCCTATACAATATATTAATATATAGTATATAATTTGCATTTTTAATCTACTGGAATATATTAATATATAGTATACAATTTGCATTTTTAATCTACTGGATGTCTATTTAACATGGATATGAATGGAAATACAAATTTTCATTCAAAAGAGTAACTAATTCTGTCAACTAATTTATTATGCATTTCATTATTACCCAATGATGTGAAATTACAAAATTTTACAAATACTGAATTCTCTGCATATCTTTATAATTTTTGGTCTAATCTTATATTCTATTTATCGATTTTTCTGCTACCATATTTTAGTTACATTGATGCTGCTGCTGCTAAGTCACTTCAGTCATGTCCGCTTCTGTGTGACCCCACAGACAGCAGCCCTCCAGGCTCCCCCTTCTCTAGGATTCTCCAGCAAAAACACCGGAGTGGGTTGCCATTTCCTTCTCCACTGCATGAAAGTGAAAAGTGAAAGTGAAATCGCTCAGTCGTGTCTGACTCTTAGCGATCCCATGGACTGCTGCCTATTAGGCTCCTCTGTCCATGAGATTTTCCAGGCAAGAGTACTGGAGTGGGGTGCCACTGCCTTCTCCATTAGTTATATTAACTTGATAGTATTCTGCACATGGTCAGAAAACTGACCATTAAAGGATATTAATCATCTCAAAAAAATATAATGGCATTTTTGTATAGCTGTAAAGTATCGTTTATCAAAACAAGTACAGAAATCCTACTAGAATTCTCAGTAGCAATGGACTAAATTTATATATTGAGATTTTACATCTTAATAATAATATATATTCACATGGAGAAACACAAGATGATTTATTCAGGTTTTACTTTATAATTCTGCATTGTTAGTTTTCTAATAGGTTTGATGTCTTACTAGACTTGAACTTTGATACTTCATAGATTTCTGATAACATTAACTAAAAACTTATATTCATATTAACAGGTAATTTTATAAAGGGAGGATTTAGAGTTATTTTCCTGTATATTTATCTAGTATTTGGCAATTGAAGTTGATTTACTAGTTTTATTTTTAGTTGATGCATATTGACTATATATGATATCTTATCATCTCCAAATAACATTACGCTTGTCTCGTGTCAATATTTACACATTTAAATTTTTATTATTAAATTAGCTCATTTTTCTAAAGATGCTAACTACAGTGGTGACAAATATAATCCCTGCATTCTTTCTCATTTTATTTGGGATGCCTCTAATATGCCACTATTAATATGATATTACATGTTAATTTGTAGAAAATGGTTACACATTTTCAGTAGTTTTCAATTATAAAAATCACAAACTTACTTTTTATTTAAATAATTATGTTAATAACACATTTGCCTTTGTTGAAATAAGCCCTACTCAGTCAATAGGTTGTATTCCTTAATATCAAGGCTTGAATTTAGTTGCTAATTTTGTTGTTTGCAACTGTTGTATTTACATACATGTTCTTTTTTGGGGTTGTGTTAGTGAGGTATTTATATTGAGGTTTGCTAGCTATACAAAATGGGCAAACATCCTATCTTTATACTCTGGAACAATTTTTAAAATATAAGAATTATCTGTGCTATGAAAGACTGTTTAAATGACACCAGTTTTGATAGCTCTTTTACTATGTTTTTACTTCTTCCTGTTTGGTTGTATGCTTAGAGAAATGGCTCTCAAAGTGTGCCCACGGACAAGAGATACTGGGGACCACCTGGGAGATGTTAGAATCATCAATTCTTGGACTCCATTTCAGATCTACTGAAAGCCTGGGCTTGAGGGTCACAATCTGCATTTTAAAAAGTCCTGCAGGTGACTTTGATACGTACTTAAGTTTGAGAACTACTGCCTTAGAGGTACCACCCCTTCAGCAGGGGTTCCCAATTTTCTGAATCTAATGTCTAAGGATCTAAGGTGGAGCTGAGATAATAATAATAGAAATAAAGTACACAACAAATGTAATGTGCTTCAATCACTCTGAAACTACCACCCCCACCCCCACCCCCTAAAAAAGTGTCGTCCACGAAACCGGTCCCTGGTGCCAAAAAAATGTTGGGCACCGCTGCCATTCAGCGTATTTCAGCTTTTTCCATTTAGATGGGCAATACTCAATTTCTTCCACATTGTAAAGTTTACTGGCACAGATGCACATGATTTATTCTTATAACCATTGAAATATTTTCCATAACTGTGGCTGTATTTTCAGATTTATTATGCTCTGTGTTTATTTCCTTTTGTTTAAAAAAAAAAAAATCTTGGAAAGAGAAGTGGGCAAGATAGCGCAGGGGGCGTTTTCAGCAGTCACCCTTCCCCCATCCCCTCCTCAGGGAATACAGCTTTCGACAATCAGTAAGGAATAGATAGTACCTTTGCCGAGTCGGGAAGTCCAGCAGAGAAGTTCCAGCACAGCAAAACATCCAAGAACAGATCCACCGAAGGGGGCGAGAACACCTTTCCTCCACCGGCGTGACCCCTCCCCCAGCGTGGCCCAGCTCAGTGCCAAAAAAGGCTCCCTTCAGTCCCATATTTCCCCCAGCACCGGGATGGAGTGTTCAGCTCCTGTGCCTCGCAGGATGCTGCCGCTGCCGCAGAGGCCACTTCTTTCTCCTCTCACTTGGAGCACCGAGCGTCTCAGCACCAGTTTGGTGGGGAGTGGGTGACAGAGGCTGGGAGCAGGTAGGAGAGAGAAGGCCGCACAGTCACTAGGGCATTTGGACCTCACTGAGCGGCGATGGAGCCTAGAGATCAATGCAGAGATTGCTCCCGGAGCATGGCCCATCAGCTGCTTCTGGAAGCCTACACTGATGATTTCAGCAGGCAACGGACCCACCGGGCGCCCGCACAGATTTGTGGGCCTCCTCCCTCCCCACCTCCTGGCTGGCATTCTGCGTACGTGCCCTGTGCGTGCCACGTGCGTGCGTGCGTGCGAGCGTACGTCCCACGTGGTAGAGCAAGCGGAGAGCAGGTGATCACCTCCAGATGGCGGGCTAACTTCACGCGACTGGAGGAAGGTTCTAAATGTGAGTATTGAGGGGCTCTGCCCTAAGGAACCATACAGGTCGCGCTCAGCACCCAGCCAGGCTTTGGGGAATGGAGAGAAAGCAATCCTAAAACTGCCTCTCCCCTACCTTCTGAAAGAGACGTGGGGAGTTCATGCATTTAGAGAAAAGGGTCCTAGAACGCCTCAGGATCCCTAGTTGGGCTGACAAGGTGTATCTCTCTCCAGCCTGGTTAATTGAGACTGGAGAAATTGACTGCTTTTTAAAATGTGGACTACAGATCTCTTTTTAAAAATATATATTTATTATTTATTTTGCTGTCCTCGGTATTAGTTGCGACGTGCAAAATCTTTTAACTTGTGGCATGAGAACTCTTAGCTACAGTAGGTGTGATCTAGCTCCCTGATCAGGGTTCGAACCCATGACCACTGCACTGAGGAGCTTGGAGTCTTTAGTCAGTGGACCACCAGGGAAGTCCCAAGACTGGCTCTTGAGGCTGCCCTGTAACCTGGCTGCAGTCCCTCTTAGCCATGGTACCAGGGTCCTATTTGCTCAGGGATCCAGAAGGAGGCACACTCATCCCTGCCCCAGAGGAGGCCCTCTTAACATCTTTCCTATTGTCCCCTGAAGATACTGAAGCTGCCTGTAACTCAGTATAATTCCAGCCCCTCTCGACTATTTCTGTCTGTGAGTGTTTCCACATTTTGAGGTTTATACTTACCAAGAGTCATTTGTGTGGTTTCCAACACTGTTTATGCCAATTTTAGTCTTTATTATAATTACATAATTTAATTACCTATTATAGCAATGGAAAATATGATTACAAAAAGAGTCTTTGTTATATATGTGAAAACAAAGATGATTTGGGAAGATTGGATATAAATGCAGTTGTGAAACTGCTATAGAATTATATGTTCTTTGCCATAGAATTATATGTAAGAGAGAGTATTTTAAAAGATTTTTGAAACTATTGTAAAAATCTAGAAGGATTTTTATACTCAGATTGCTTCACAAGTATCTTTTGAGTTTTTGTTCCACTTAAAAGAATCTAAAAATGGAAATAACAGATGGTTTATTATGGAGTGTGATTTATACAAGCAAACTTTGTAGAACCTCCATTGATGACCAACATTCAAAGAAATGACAGTAGCTGGGCCTTTAAGAAAAAGTTGGTCAATTCAATTATATTTATAGATTTTAGGTTAAAATGAAATATCCAACGCTATATGGGTCATTTTTATGACACTTATTATACCTTTCTATTAATGTCTAACATCACCTCTAGTAGAAGACCTTCTGCTATACATAAATTGGACTACTTCATTTCCTGATTGTATTCACAGAATCATTCAATGGCCTCTCTTCAAAAACAAAAACCACATCTTGGCTTCGAAGTCGCTTCAAGACACAGGAGCGGCCACTTCTGCTATTGTCTTTTTTGTCATTCATTCCCAGCTTCTCTCTTTAAGTTTCAGGCACACTGACCTTGTAGGTCTTTGAACACACCAGGCCATTTCTCTCCTCACGCTCTTCACATACAGTTTTACCTGCTTGGTATGCACTTTCCATCTCTTTGGTGTCCACCTGACTTACGTGTATTCCTTAGATCCTCTTTTAAATGCATGTTGTTTATACTGATCTTCTTTGACTATGAGAACTAAATTTGACTATGAGAGCTAAATTTATTTGAACTCTTGGCAACTTTTGTTGTCTTTCACAGTATATATCACAAATTTCCCTCAAAAGTTGTATTTGTGCATTTTTTAATACTTTTACTATTAAGCTCCAGATTTTAATAATGGGGTGATCTGTCTCTTTTATTCATTTCTACAACTCCAGGGCCTGACTGAAAAAAAAGAAAAAAGATACTTTTTTGTTTATTATGCAAACCAATGAAGAGACAACAATGAGGGTGAAACTAATGGCATATATGAATTTGATGTTGATCCAGTGGATGAAAAGTTTTCTAACTGTAAGTTCTGAGATTATCTGTAGTCATTAAAGTACAAAATCAGACTAAAAGGGAGCAACTATCAGTTTTTCTTACTAATTTCCATCATCTATATTTCTAATACTAGATGGTAAGTCTCTCATGACAATTCTGTCTCACCTCACAATATCCTAAGTTTAGTGATTACATAGACTTCTATCCTGTTCACTGCCAATCCTCAAACAGTATCTAGCACAAGAAGATAATAAATAAGCTTTTATTTAAAGATCACCACTGTAGATGAATACCTATTTTCAGAGTTAAATATGACTTCAGAGTTATTTCCACTGTTCTGGCTAAAAGTGAAAAGCATTACAAAGAAAAAATTAACAGAAACTGACTAGTTATTTACCAATTTCCCCTTTTCTTCTTGGGCAAACACAATTCCTTTCCTTACAGTTGTGTGCATGCTAAGTTGCTTCACTTATGTCCAGCTCTGTGCGAACCAATGGACTAGGCTCCTCTTTCCATGGGATTCTCCAGGCAAGAATTCTGGAGTGGGTTCCTGTGCCCTCCTCCAGGGGATCTTTTCAACCCAGGGATTGAACATGCATTTCTTACATCTAACCTGCATTGGCAGGTGAGTTCTTTACCACTGGTACCACCTGAGAAGCCCGCCCTTACAATTAGGTGTAACTAATTGATTCAGATATGGCCAGTGGGTTATAAGCTGAACATTTTCCAGGCCTGGTCCTTTTAAAAAGAAAAACGCTCACAAATGCCAATATTTCACTCTCTTTTATCACCCAATTGTTGAAAAAAGAGGACTGTATGTATCTAGATGAGGGTAGAGCCATAAGACAGAAAGGAGCCTGGGTCAATGACCGACTGGAACAGAGCCTCTCCCAAAAAGCTAACTCCTCTGTCTTAACATTGGAGGAAGAACTAATTTTCAGTTGTCAGGCCACTAATATTTTGAGGTTGTGCCAAAACCCACTCTAATACAAAGGTTATATCATGCTGTATATGAAGATTATATTTATATATTTCTAACTCATAGATTTTCTAAAAATTTGAAGCAAGGCTTTATGTAAACTATAAAGCACCTACAGTCAGCATATGAAAGGCAACTATTCAAACAATGAAAACAACATTGACAGTAAAGTTTTGAGACTATCTTATAATTAGGAGGTAGGAGGGTTCCTAGAGATAATTTCAAGTACAAATTACGTGCCATCTTAAGTTTTCTCATGTTGGTGATAGCAATAAAATTGAAATGTCCCCCTTATGCTTTCCTTGCTCCAATTCAGCTGTTCATTACATACTCAGCAATAGCTTGAGTACATGATTCATTTCTTTTTGTTGTCTGCTGGATTTACTCACCGGGGCATAGGATCAAAAGTTGATAAATACACCAGCCCAGGTTGGATGCATGAGACAAGTGCTCAGACCTGGTGCAATGGGAAGACCCAGAGGGATCAGGTAGAGAGGGAGGTGGGAGGGGGGATCAGGATGGGGAATACATGTAAATCCATGGCTGATTCATGTCAATGTATGACAAAAACCACTACAATATTGTAAAGTAATTAGCCTCCAACTAATAAAAATAAATGGAAAAAAAAAGTTGATAAATAGAACTCACTGAGTGACAGCCAGAACTTGAACTCTATAAGGTCTACTGGTCTGATTTGACAGTGAGTGTTGATCCTCCTTCTTGCTGGAACAGACGCAAATATTTCAGGCAAGAATGCTCTCCCTCTTTCCACACCTCTCTTTCCCATGTCATACTCAGTGAAAGAGGCTGCAAGTTAAATAGAACAGCACTCATCTAAAGAAAACAATCAAAAGCTGCCTGGTTTAATTCTGTGCTACCTTAAAATCATAAATGAGTGCCATTGCATATTATTTTATACTTTTATTAGGCCCTAAACCTTGCATCTCAACTTTAGTACTTTGGTATTTCTAGCAATTGCCTATGTAATGTGAGACAGGGTTCTAGCAAAATTTCCTCCCCCTAGGAAGCTAGTATTTGAACACATATCAACTGAGCACCATTATTTTTTGAGATTTCAGCCTACATCCATTCTGTCAAGTTTCTATATGTGTCTCTCTGCTTTTCCACTGAGTCCTTCGTCTATTCATTCATTACACTATTTTATTATAATTATCTAGTTCATTTATAGCATGTCTAAATTGGTAAAATAGTTCTCTATTTCTTCTTATTAAGATGTAATGAGCTACTTTGTTATATATATTTTGGAAAAAGTTTTTCAAATTTTTCATACAAATCCAGCTCCAATTTTGATTAGTTATAGGTTAAAGGTATACATTAATGTGCAATATTATATTAAGCTATCTCATCTAAGAATAGAAACTATCTCTATTTATTCTCATCTTTTATGTCTTGTAGAGAGTTTTAACATTTCTATTTGTAGGTTTTGTATATTCTTTATCAATTTCTAGATACTTCCCATTTTTGCTTGCTGTTTTTTAAATGTGATGATTATTACTTATATAATGAAATGCTATTGAATAAATTTATTTTATATTTAGTAACTTTGCTACACTTCCTTATTTAGTCCTAATATATTTTCAGTTAGTATATTACTTTTTGTCTTTGTGGAGGGATTTTTGGTCTCTATCATTCTATATTATTTGCAATTCTCTTTACAATATTTTTAAAACATCAGTTTTGCAGTAGATTTGATTATTTCCAATAATCAAGTTTTATTTCATTAACATACTCTTTTTTGCTCTTGTTATTCTTTGCTATATGCCCTGTCATTTCTATTACAGCTTTCCTTCTCATTTCTTTAGGTATTAGCTATTTTCCCTTTTCCAACATCTTGAGTTTTGTAATTAATATTTGTTTCTTAATATCAAAGTTTCTCAGCCTCAGAAGTATTGACATGTTGAGCTATGTGGTTCTTTCTTGTGCATTTGGGGGGCTGTTCTATGAACTGGGAATGTTTAGCAGCATTCCTGTCCTCTACCCATTAGCTGGCAAGAGCAATACTCTCTCACCCATGACAAGCAAATGTGTGTCCAAACATTGCCAGATGTCTCCTGTGATGGAACAGAAATAATTTCTGTTGAAGACCACTGAAAACTCACCAGAGGCATATAACAAATTGACAACTGTTTACCAAAAAACAAGAAAGAAAACCACTACTGAACCTATGATAAGAACGCTGGCAATCTGTGATGTATCAACGTTGAGCTGCTACCTCACACTTCAGCTCCACCAGGGCGATAGTTCTAGCCGGGCTGGGCACACTAAGAAAGCAAGCAACTTTACTGTCGGGGGAGCTAGCATGATTTGGAGTGGAAGCTAGAGAAATTCCATTACCCAGAGAGTTATCTAAAATAATAGTCATCTCAGTGGCAAATGTAGCAGCTTGCCCGAGTTTGCAAAACTGATTAAGGCAAGCAGCTAACCAGGCAACTAGCCATATTTTCAGCAGGAGGTCTTAGGAATGATGCCGCCGTAATGGGGCTCAATGCTGCTGCTGCTAAGTTGCTTCAATCATGTCCGACTCCATGCAACCCCGTGGCTGTAGCCCGCCAGGCTCCTCCGTCCGTGGGATTCTCTAGGCAAGAACACTGGAGTGGTTGCCATGCCCTCATCCAAGGGATATTCCCAACCCAGGGATTGAACCCAGGCCTCCTGCATTGAAGGCGGATTCTTTACCATCTAAGCCACCAGGGAAGAAGCCCCATGGGCCTCAACCAGTTGCCACATATTCCTTGCTGTCTGAAACACTATATGCATGGTTGTCTATATGTGCAGGACAGACTAAAGGGGGGTGCAGATGTGTTCAGGGCAGACTAAAGCAGGCCCTAGTTATCTGCACATCCTTGGCTAAATGACAGGCCTTGTATGTGAGCACAAGACATAAAAGGGCCAACAGATGTTAGAAGCTGAATTAGATTAATAAACTGCCTGAAGTGTGTGTGTGTTCCCCAGTGAACATACAGATACAGCAGCAAAGGGATGACAACCTACTGTCTTGAGGGGTTTAAACAAACTTTGGTCAACCATACTGACGTAGGAACAATCCCCAGAAGCCAGTGTTAATATAAAAGCAAAAGGAAAATAAAAAATTCAGAGGCAGTATATCCATACACTACAAGGGAGAACGGCTCCATATAATTAGTTCTGGGAACTCCCTAAACAAACACAGGAACAGCCATAACCCCTGTGAGAATGCAAATCCACAGAAGTTACAATATATTATAATCTGTAGTTTCCAACCAAATATTCACAAACACCAGAGGAATGGGAAAGTGTAACACATACTTTGGAAAAAAAGCAAACAATGTCTCCAATGGATTCTAGATGTTGGATTTAGCAGACAAAGACTTCAAAACAGTATTATATGTATTTTGATGTATTATATCAAATTATGATGTATTATAAATACATCAAAGAACTAATGTAAACTATGCTTAAATAATAAATGAAAAAAATGAAAAAATAATGATGACTATTCAAATAGAAAATGCCAATTAAATGCCTAGAAATATTTTTAAAAAATAACCAAATAGAAATCCTTGAGTTAAAAAAGTATACTAACCAAAATGAAAAAAAAAATTAATTACAGGGACTTAAAAGAGTAACATTATTCATAATATCCAAAGACTGAAAACAACCTAAACCTACATCAATTTGTGGAGAGATAGACAATATGTTATATGTCCATTCAATGGGATACTTACTACTCAGCAATAAAAGGAATACAGTATTTCATGTAGTTCATATAAGTGAACCTCAAAACATTATGTGAAGTGAAAGAAACCAAATGCAAAAGACTATATATTGTATTGTTTCTTTCATATGAATTATCCATAAAAGGCAAATCTTAGAGGTAGAAAGATTAGTTGTTGTTTGAAGCTAGGGTAGGGACTCAGAATTGACTACAGGTGGGCACGGTGATAAAAACATTTTAAAATTAGACAGACTTATTAAAATCACTAAAAGGTTTACTTAAAATGATTGAATTAGGTCAATAAAGCTGTTAAAATATTGCTATTCACATTCA